TATTCTTCTAATGACTGCTAATAAAGGCAAAAGATACAAAATGGCAAAGTTGGGTTTGGGGGCAGGTGAACGTGGCCACCTAAAAAGCTGGCCGTTTGTAATGACAGAAGAAATGACAAAGAAAGGAGAACTGCATTTGTGGCCTAAGTGAGGAGCATGTTTGTGTGTCTACATCTCTGCATGTTTTTAAGATTCCTTTGAGCTGCTTTTGTGCTGACTCCACAGAGGCATTTGCTGAAGCTTGTCACCGTGTAGGAACTTTGAGTTAACCTCTTATATCAAATGAATCTTTTCATTTAGAGACCAATAAATCTCAATCTCCAGCTACCTTTTGTTGACCCAGCCTGGGCTCAATGAGACAAAACTGAAGCTTTATAATAATGACCAAATAAAGTCCCCCCCCATGCCAAAAAAATAAAGTTTCCCAAAGTTAGTGTTTTTCTCCTCTTCCATTTTTTTTTTTTTTGACAACCTGAAAAATCCCCTCCATCCAACAAATAAAAGTTCAATGAAGTTGCAGCTCTTTTTTGGTAACCGGAAGGTCAGGAATTTGTTTAGATTCTCACAGCAAGCCTGTTGACCGAAATGGTTTTACAAACTCAGATGCTGAAATGATTTATCGTTTTTTCAACAAGTCATTATTTTGGTATGTGGTTTAGGTGGGGCTGAAACAATGTAATAATCAATGTAAGATGAGAGTGTGTATGGAGGGGGAAGGCTGTCTATGACCAAGAGTTGACACCAGAAACATGAAAGCCAGCCGGGTCTCCAGGGATGGAATTTGGGAAAGAGCCTGCACACGTCTGCTCCTGGGCTATAAAGAAATACATTGTTAACAACACCGAAACAGACAATGCCCTGAGCTCTGCCTGGATTCGGAGCTACTCTCCAGATATTTTAGCAGCACTGTTCATTTTGTTGGGGGTTTGGGCCATTCGAAATTCAGCCTTTAGCTAGCCTGCTCCTGGCCTATGGTTACAGAATTCATTTTCTGATTTACTACCCCTCCTCCTGTATTTTCTTTATTTTCCGATGGCCTCCTGTGGGGTTAATCTGTTTTCCCTTTCTTTTCTACTTTCCAGTTTTGTTCTCCCCACAAATGATTCAGGGTTTTTCCTGTTTCTCCTGATCACTCATTTGCTTCCTTTCTCTCTTTCCTTCCTTAAGAGGCAGAGTAAAATGAAAAGAATAGGAGGGGATTTCCAAATGGTTCCTCTCTAAGCATTATTAATTACTGTTATAAGGCAGGGGATTCTTAACTAATAACAAAGTTGTAAATTACCACTGACATTCCGGTATTTCTCATTTGTCAGCTCTGATTGATTTGATTAATATTCTACTCTTTGAAATAATTTCAGCAGCACTTACAATCAGCACCACTCATGTTGAAAAGATGAGGCTTCACCCCTGCCCAGGACCCTGCCCCTCTGGTTTTACTCTTCACTTGGAAACTTGGGTTTCTGTCCTGAGTTCCATGGCTTTTCCTGACAAGCAGTGGGGAAGAAAGTGGGATTGGACTGGCATATTTTCCTGTGTTCAGCTATTTACATGTAATTTTCAAAACTTTTTAAAGCAACTTAACTGCTGAAGGAGCAAAATATTGTTTCCAAGATCTTCTGAAAGCCTTTTTTAAAAACTGCATATTCGAGGCTGGTAGAATAAGTTTTTAAAAGCTCCCTAAATTCTGGAAATACACCAAAGTCAAGCCCTATTTCTCCTTATTCTCCTTCTAAGAAAAGGCTGGCCTCCTCTCTCCTCAGGCCTGTTGAAGTCAGTGTTACTGACAGGGAAAGAAGTGTGCATGCAGGCAGGGCCTAGAGAGGGCACTGGGAAAAGTCCACCTCCTGAGAAGAGGTTATATTTTCCAAAGTTCCTACTGTGTCCCGCTATCATGTCCAGAATGTAATTTTTGAAGCTATCAATATCCACTGCCACCAATACTTCTGGAGTTTTAATCTTAATTATATTATTAAGTGAAGTACTGTGCTGTCAGAGCGTTGAACATGATTTATGACGTCTGACTATTAAAGGATCGATTGTGAATATCGCCACTGTCATCTATCAATAGTCTCAGGCTGAGGGTATTTCTCACACCACGGTTGTGATAGATACATGATAGACTGCAGGAAAAAGACTATTTCTTCAGGGGGCACTGGCTTTCCAGGTGCCGCAGGGAGAGAGTGTGGGGCACTCTTGAGAGTTTCTACTGCATCTCACACTTAGAGAAGGCTTCAAGATTTTTTTTTTCTTTTTCTCTTGAATGTTAAAACCAGTGAGCTCGTAGGGGAAGGAAAGACCAGAGTCGTTTTCTAAGAGAAAGAAGTTACTTCTGCAGGTCACTATCAGGGACCCAACCAAGTGATGGCCAGCGAGAAGGGAAAAGCCACCAACCCGGGTGGGGTGGAGGGCTATATACGAGGGTGGGTGCTGGGGGCACACCGTGTATTCTGGAGCAGATTCTGAGACCTTGCTTCTGCCCTCTGACTCGGAAGTGCTCAGTTTCGGGATTAAAAAAAAACCACACACACACACACACACACACACACAAAGAAAAAACAAAGGTTCTCTGCCCTGAGCCACTCCTACGTAAGGTTCCACCTGCTCCTGCCTCCCCTGCATAGCTGGAGCCGGGTGCGAAGGGCGCAGCAACTAGGCCTGGAGGAGCCGAGCGAGCGCGGAGGCCTTTTGTCTCCAGATGGAGCTCAGAGCCCGCTTTCTTCCATGCTCGCGGAGCGCTGCCTGGGGCCTAGTGGGGCACGACCAGCTAGGGTCACCTCCCTACTTTAGGGGTCGGGAGAGACGGCGGAGAATAGAGCAAAACCCCGCTCTGTGGGCCCAGCAGTGTGGGGCGCGGGGAGCCACCCGAGCTTGGCGGCCCCAGGCCCCCTCCCTGGCTGCTGAGGCGTCGGAGTCAGTCAAGCGCCCCCTGGCACCCGAGGAAGGCGCGCCTCGCCCCAGAGCGGCCCTGAGCCAGAGGAGGCGCAGGACTCAGGCCTTGGGCCTGGCTGGAGACCTGGCCTGCGGGCTTTGAGAGCTGCCCCTGCCTAGGTCTGGCCCCCCGCGGCCCTTGGGGCCCAGTCTGTCTTTCCCTCAGGATTCCTGCGCTTTCAAGAAAGAGCACGACTTGAACTCATTGGTTTCCCCCTCCCGGGCCAGAGGCTTGGGGCCACACAGGGCGGACTAAGACTGTGGAGAGTTCCATGGGCTGGCTCTTGCGCGCCTACAACACCCTGTTGTCCTGGGTCGGGAGTCCGCTGATGGGTGAAAACCTTGACCCCCAGCCCTGTGACTCCACTGACCCACCCAGCCACAGAGTTCCGAGGCCTAACCTTGGCCAGGATGGTTTGTCTCCCGACTTGGAGGCTACGAGGGGCGGAAACGGAGTGGCACATAGTACTCTGTCAATAAATGTCAGCTCTCTTTTTTACCATTATTAGGTGCATCTGCTTTCTTCCAAGAGTGTTCACTGCTTCGCACAAATTTACCCCAGACCAAACACCATAGCTAGGTCTTCAGTCGTCCACCCCCAGGGGATCTTCAGCTGCCCATTTCCCCTAAGCCCTGGACCCAGAATGCTCCGTGGCCAGAGCCAATTTGGGGCTGCGGACAGTTCCTCCCCCATGTCTGGGCCTCCAGAACTGGGCTCAGAGGACTGAAGCAAGGGCCTGAAGGTCCCTAATGTGTCCTGCCCATGGCAAGCGCCAGGGGAGGGAGTTTTAGTTAAACAAGGACATCTTGGGAAGGGAGGTAATGATGTTTTCATTTCTTTCTTTCATTTTTTAAAGAAAGGAACCCGGCCGGGGCTATAGCTCAGTGGTTCTGCTACCTGCCTCAAAAGCGCAAGGACCCGAGTTAGATCCCCGATCCCCGGTACCAAAAAAAAAAAAAGAAAGAAAAAGAAAGGAACCCTGGAGTGAAATGGTGCGTGGGCGGGAAGGGTGGGGCCACTCCGGAGTATTTGGAGGCCAGAGAACCAATGCTTGGAGAGGCAGAACCGTTGGACCCGCACCTTGCGCTTCCGGAAACAACTCTGAGTAAGCCTCCAGCAGTCAGGAACTGGGACTGGCGCTGCGACGTCCACGCAACCATACTCCGACTACCGTTTGATCTTAATGAATGCACGTAACTCATCTTCCGTTTCTTTTTATTATCAATGATACTAATAACACTGTTGTTGCTATTTTGTAAGTGGCATTTCAGACTCGAAGGCCCCGGGAGCAGCTGCAGGACCCACGCCCAGGACGAAGGTCACCTGCTGCGCCGCCCTCAGAGCTCAGCAGGCCTCTCTCCCCTCTCTCCTCGGATCTGCCCTTCTTGGGTCTGGGCCCGCTTAAAAACGATAAATTATGTCTTGTTCATGCAGACTCTTCCGCCCCTCTTGATCTCTAACCGCTTTGAGATGAGCGAAGAAGCACCTCGGCGCAGGTCCGGAGGTGCATGTCCCTCGGCCTGCGTTGTAGGGTTATCGCCAAAACCTTGGCCTAACGTGCAGCTAATAGACCTGGAGCGAGGGAGTTAGGGAGAAACCAGGGGCCCAAGGAGTTAGATCTGCGCTCTACAGGGATCGGAAATTCAGTGCCTGGGAGGAAGACGCGAGTCAGTGTCCCCTCCCCCTCCCACCCGCGCCCTCGCGTCTCTGCGCTCCCTGGGCCTCGGGGCCGCGGGCCACAGCTCCCCTCTTCTTCCCGACCACCGCGCGCCGGGGGCGCCCTGCGCTCGACTTCTCCAAGCCCCCGGGAGGAGGCGCTGGCGGCCGGGTCGGCTCCTGGACCCCCATTCACAAAGGCTGGCTTGGAAAAGGACACACACAGACACACACACACACCACACGCACTGTCAGGAGGGGAGTTTGATCTTGTCTCATTGGCGTCTCCGGCCTGAAAGGAAAATCATTTGGGTAAACAGCCAAGCTTCCAGGCTTAACGCCCGACTCCCGCCCCCGCCCTCCACCCCTCCCGCCTCCCCCATCCGCTTCCACCCCACCGCGACCCACACTCGCCTCGGCAGCCCGGCCCGAGCGAGCTCCGCGCGTCCGGGAGGGAGCTGAGGGCTCCCCGGGTTCAAAGGGCCGCAGCCCCGAGGGAATGCCCTGCTCGCGGTGCCCTTGGGTGCAGAAGCGGACTGCAGGGCGGTGGGACCGGCCTGGGCACGGTAGGAACCACGAAACCTCACGCTTCCCTAAGTAGCTGGTCCCGGGGGAGGGCACCGGGGAGATCCGAGCCCGGAGGGACATTTTCACCCACATCGAGAGAGCGAGACCGAGCCGGGCTGGCTGGCGGAGCCTCCGGGCTCGGCCTCAGTCGGCCGGGCCCCCTTCGTCCCCCAAGGTCGTGACAGGCGTCTGACATTTGTGTGCACCACCAGGGGCTCTGGCCTGGAGCTCCCAGGGCCTGCTTGCGCTCTGTACACCCTGGGGTGAGTCCCTGTCTGCAAAAGGCCGCCACAGGCCTCCGCTCCAGGAAACGCTTTTAGTATAATAATAGTAGGCGTTTTCCAAAGTTTGATTCTTTCCAATGGAGAGCTCCTCACTTAAACGGCTGAAAACATAATTAATAGTTATTAACATGCGGGGAAAAAAACCTTCGTGATGTTTAAAAGGATAATAGTTTCTCTGGCTCACACTCTTCGAGGATGGAGAGAATCTTGAAATGTGAAAATATGCTGATTAGATTATTAGACTTATTTGACGGTGATTTGCACCGTTCTGCAGTGAAATTCTTCTCTCTCCTCCCTTTCTCTGCCTCCAGTTCTCTTTCTTTCTCCCTCTCACAGTCTCCATCTCACTCTAATCCAGGAGTCATTAGCAACACCCTCTGGCTACATGTTTTGCATCAGTGAAACATTGTGACATAGTTGTAATACAAACTCCGCCGCCTTGCGCTGCATCTTGCGGTAGGAAGTGTAATGGCAATAAAAATCATTTTTCCTCTCCAGGCATTATGCAGTGGGAGAGGGGGAAAAAACTTAGAAAATCTGAATGTGAAAGGGAATGGGGTGGAGAAGAAAGACACGAAGAGAAGATACGGAAAGGCGACAAGGAGAGAGGAGGGGGGGAGGGGACTTCTCCAATTCAGAACTTCCCTTTTATAAAATGTAGGCTTGTAGATTCAAACATATTATTTTCTATGCTCTCCTCTCTTCTGCTTTTATGCTTCCTCCTCACTGTCACCCCCTCCCCTCCGTGAGCCCCAGGACCTTTCTGGCATCTTCTCTTAGCTGCCAGGAGCTCTCAGTAGCCACCCCCAAGTTGGCATCCCAGAACCCCCAAAGCTCCACGAGTTTCAGAGGCCTGGGCACCCCTCCTTAGCTGTTAGCTGGCCAGATGGAGGGATGGGAGCTCCCTCAAGTCCTGCTAGGAAACTGGGGCCTCAGTCCTGTGTGGTCTCCCAGGAATCTTTCCTAGCCTAATGAAAAAGGGAAAAGGCAAGCAGAAAGCTAACCTGGCTATTTTCCTGGTTGCGGCCCTGTAATTTCAGGATGGGAGCTCAGAGAGCCTCCCCATCTGCAATGTGGAGTGCTGGTTACAAGGAGAAAGGACACCCACTCCATCCTTTGCCTGACCCTAGGGGACTCACCCTGCCAACTCAGAGGGGCATAAAGACGGAAGAAGGGGTCTCTGTATTAAGTTTGCTCAGTCAGGGAATCTAGGGGCTTGTACAGCATGACGTAACCCTCCACCTGGATGCCACAGACCCCAATTTGACTAGCATGTTACATGTAGATTCCACCGAGTTCCTTACAGAAAGATATTCAATCTGCAATCAAAACTACCTCAGATCAATATTCTGCACCCCTTTCAAAAACAAAGGAACCCCCTAGATCTTCCCTGGCCCACAGGAGAGATGCTCTGCTTTCAGAACTAGAGTCTGTGTGTGAAAGGTATTTTATCCTATCACCGAGGGTGCACTTTGAAAACGAATTGAAACAGAGACTCACCAAGGCATATAAGAGAATGAACGTGTTTCATAGTCCTGTGGAAGGACTTAAGAGTGGGCCAAACATCTTAAGTTACCAACTGGAAAAAATAGAGTCAAATGTCCAGTTGCATGTCAGAGAGAATGCTGTGTCATTTATAATTCCTACTGCTGCTACTTTCCCTGGTTGGTAGCCAGCCACGTTGAGGACTACATTTCGTGGTTCTGTTGTCAGCAAGAGCGAAAGGCAAAAGCAACAAGGTTCAGTGGGCTGGCGCCTGGCGTGCCAGAGCCCCTCTGGTGCCCGACTGCCCAGAACGAAAGGATTCTGATGGAAATCGTAATTGCGAGGAAAGGACTCCATAGGCACCCGCCTCATGGGGGATATTTGCAGTGGCCACCTCCCAGTAACCCCAAACACCGGGCAGCCAGAACCAGTGGCCTCCTAAGCAGCAGCCCGTGTATCGATCCTTTCCTCAGGAGCAGCTTCCCAGCTTAGGTGGCTGCTTTAGGTTCGATGAAATTGTACATATATATTCTTCTTCTTCTTCCGTTATTTCCCCCTTCATTCCAATGCAACCACTGTGGGGTATGTCGGTCTCAGATCACGCCTCCTAAGCTGTGGTAACGAGGCCTGGACTTTCGGCTTCTCTGGAGGTTTGATGAGGGATTGTCCGGTGACGTTCAAGTTAGGCTGGGAGCTTGGCCGCGCAATTCCAGTTTCCGAAGCGAGGTGGCGCTCCAGGGCACGGCAGTGGCCCGGCTCTTCTCCGGCGAGCTCCTCCGCCGCGTCCCCGCGGAGAGCGGCCGCCGCCCGGCCGCGGCTGCTGCAGCTGGCGTGGAGTCCGCGAGCGCTCAGCTCCGCCTGGGACAGGGGCCCGCAGGGCAGGCGAAGGCCCGAGGCCGCTGCCGGGGCAGGCTGGTGGCGGCGGGGAGCGCGGCGGGTGGCCGAGGACGCGGCCTGCTCGGGGCGAGAGTCGCCGCCCGCCAGGTCCCCAGCGGGCCGCTGGCCCTGGCGCCCGGGGGCCGCGCGTGGAAGGCGGGGTGCGTCACCCTCGAGGCCGGGGGCGCGCTCGGAGGGCGCCGCCACCCGTCCACCCCGGCTTAGGGGCTTTGCTCTTTCTTGCGATTTTGTAAGAAAAAGAAAAATTAAAGAGGGGGTGAAAATCAGATGTGCACCATTTTTGTGTCCCAGGAGACAAAGTTTGTCTCCCAAACTAAGCAGTTTTTCTTTTCTTTCATTTCCCCTTTTTTCCCTGTAATTTCCTTCTATTCTCTTTTCATTCTGTATTCCCCCCTCCTCTCTGTGTGTGTGCGTGTGTAAGGGAGAGAAAGAGAATCTCTAGTATTAGCAAAGCCATCATTGAGCAAAAAGAAAAAAAAAAAAAGAGAGAAAACTAGGAAGAAACGACTTCGATTTATTGAACGCATCCAATCCATGCAATTAGGTTTCCACTCCATTTCTGCCTTTCCTGGGGGTCTATTTCCCGAGCTGTCTAAGTTAAAGATAACTGGGAGGAACAGTCTTACGCTTGGCCACCCCTGATCTGCGGCGCTGGGAGTCCTTTAAAACCATTTTTGAAGCAATGATATAAATACCAAAAGTCACAAGGAAGAGCATTTCCGCCTTGCATGGAATTCCTCGTGGCTTTGCAGCCCTGAACCCCGAACAGCAGCGAGGCGGGCGGCCCTGCAGAGTGGCCGGAGCCAGGCTTTCAGCATTTGTTTCCGCAGGGGCCGCTGACCTGTGTCCTTCTCCCCGGCAGCCCTGGGTGCCCAGCCTGGGCCTCGCTGTCGCCAGATTTCCTTCCCTGGCACCAGGTCGCCGACTTGTAGCAAACTGCACTTTTCCTTTTGGCCCGTATCTCTGGCCACTTCACCTTCCTTGAAGTTTTGTAGCCTAAATCGACAGATTTTCGACCCAATTTAGGAGCCTCCAGGAACTCAGAGCGTCAGGTCATTAGGAATGTTAACACGGTGACCAAGAATTAGAAACATGATCTAAAAGTCTTTTCCAATTCATTTCTTCTAGTATTTATTTGAGCTAAGTGATGAAAAGTGACAGTTGTGAAATAGACAGCTTTTAAAAGTAATGCAGTCAGACGAGGCTTTAACCTGTCGATTGCTATAAATCAACTTTGAAAAAGACGAGTGAGGAATGTTATTTGGGAACCTAACTGCCAGAATTTGCCAGTATTTGCCATCCAGTCCACGGACCAGCACCACAGGGATGGTTGAGGAAGCCAGGTGGTTTGGGACTTGAACTACCGGAAGGCAACATTCTGTGTGTTTGTGTGTGTGTGCGCGCCTCCATGTCCACTTGGTGTTGGCGGTCGGTTTGGGCCTCTGCTGTGTGTCTGCACAGGTTACCCAGCGCACTTGGGAATTCAGAGGTGCTGACAGCCAGGGGTCCGAAGCCACTCTGCAGCTAGGAGTTCAGCCCAGCTCTGCAGAAGGCGGGGAAGGATCCGGGCCTGGTTGACTCCCAGAATCTTCTTTCCAACTCTCAGGAAGTCAGGGTGGGAGCAGGCTTGGAGGTTGGAGGTGGGGCGAGGAGCAGGAAACTTTACACAAATTCTTGGAGACCCAGGCAGGCAGCCCGAGCTGCATTTCAGTCCCAGCGGGGGGGGGGGCTCATGCCAGTGACTCCCCCACCCCCACCCCTTGCGTCCCCACCTCAGCGGTGAGCAGGAGACCTGCAGGGTCTGCCGGTCTTTCTCCCAACACCTCCTCCCTCGAGGAGGGCACCGATGACCCCATCCCCGCCTCCCTGGCCACCGGCGTCCTCCCCGAGGGCTCGGGACTGCAGGAGCCTCAGCCACAGGTCCTGCCGGGCTCCTTCTGCATCCTCCTTTCTGGCTCCACTGGCCAGAGGGGTGCTCTTCTCGCCCTCTCCCCTCTTGTCTGCGAAGAACGACCCACAGAAGGGGAGGAGACCGCGCCAGATCCTCCAGGGAACGCCAGCCCAGGGGCTTTAAGAGGTGGCCTTTGGCCCAAACTCGCCCAGCCCCAGCCCGGAAGTTCCCGAACTCTGGGGGAGACTTGGCGGCTCGGGCTCCTTCGATGCCCAGCCTGCCCTGTGTGCCCAGGGAGCGGGGAAGGCGGTGCGGCTCGCCCGCTGCCCCCCGCTAGCCCCGTGGAAGCCTGGGCCTCCCGGGGCCCTGGCCGGAGAAGCGAGGGCGCGGGAAGCCTCCTGGACCTCCCTGGTGGTCGCGGCGGCGGGGGACTGACAACTTC